CTGGAAGGGGTCGAAGTCCTCTTGGAGGGGGCGGATCACCCATAAAGAGGCGGATCGCCCAACATACGCTGTGCAGAGTCCGTGCTTGACTAGCGGTCGTTGCGGGACCGCCGCGCTGTATGAGGTCGATTCCATAAGAACGCAATTGAAGCGCTTCAATTTCGATTGCTGGCAAATAGTTATGTATTTGCAAGCATGCATGGCTATTTGCCAGCAGTTGCAATTGGAGCGCATGTACTACGGGCAGGTTCGGACAACTCGTCCAACACACGTCTCCCTAAAACGGCAGGGCATGTCCCTGTCTAAGCCCCAGTTGGGCGTTTTCTTCACTTTTTCTCTTTACGTTCGACCACTTTTCACCTACAACTTCCATATAGGTGCTTTTGGCCCGCAAATTCGTTCCTGGACTGTTGCTTTAAGGAGAAGTTCTGAACGAGTATTCATTTTTTAAGAACTCGAGGGCCTATTCCAGTTAGAGGGGTGTCATGATGCATTTTTTTCCTGAAAGCTAAGGTAACCCCGAGCCAGGGGGTGTGTAGCCAGTCTAGGAGGTGGGGGTGAGAGGCAGTCACTTGACACACGCGTGAAAGGCTGGAACGTTCAAGTTCACACTAGTCCGCCGAGAAGTTGGCACCTGATGCCCCCCCTTAACTAGAAATAGACCCCACAACTCGATTTTTGTAAATAAATGAAAAGCTTGGTTTGCCACAGCGGCAACCGTTCATGAGAATACATGTAACTTAATTCCTCCAATCGTCAATTTTTCACATCTATGTTTTAAAAATTCCAAATTTACATTTAAAACGTTTCATGTTTTCAGACAGCAGTTGCAGCAGTTGTACCATTTTCCGAATTGATGTTTGAAAAAGCTCTATAAAGAAATATGAATAGCCTAATAGAGTAAAAGCATAGTAAATTATTTTTCACAACAATTTTTTGACATTTTCCGAGTAACAGCGAACTTCAAGCAGACAGTAACGATCAAAAGTGTTCGCCGGAACAAATTCATGCGTATTTTTTTCTCATTCAAAAAATTGGCATCAAATTTTGACATCTTATGCCTATTAGTGTTCTCGAATCGATGAGTCTTGACATCTAAGATATTTTTGAAACAAAAAAATTATTAGCTCTTTTCAAGAGAAAAAACTATTCTGATTTATGCGAACATTTTTGACGGCTATCGGAAGTTTTCAAAATAAAAATAATTAGGTGCCATATTTCACATTGATTTGTTTCGTTTTCAGACTCGACAACGTTATGCAGATTTGCATTCGAAGCTAGCCGTGCTCAAATCACGTATATCAGATTTTGAACGTGCTCAAGATGTGGCCGCAAGCGCGTCGACGACTGTTCCAATGGATTTGTGTGATTTGGAGTAGCCGACAGCAGCTAGCTGTACGCTGAAGCCAACTCAACATATTATTGGGCCGTTCGCATTTCCACTGGCAAGAGGATCGTACCACCAAGCTGCGCTCACATCCTCATCAACTACGGAGCCGTACATGACTTGTATCGCCCTCTCAATCACTTCGGGGCATGTTTTTGCTTTCAATCACTCCTGTTTCTCCCATATGTTCAAATCATCACAACCGGTTACATTGGGCCATGTCGGCCGACGTTTTAGCGTTTTCTATTTCTATCCGTCTATTCGTCATTTTCTTCCAATCATTGCCTGCCTCAGTGCTTTTTCTACGGGCTCCCAACCAGTTCAACGTGATCACATATACACAAACACCTGTTACATTCTCACTCAAACACTTAGGTACACTTTCCACCCATACATCCCACCCTCCAATCATCCCATCCATGCATCCCGGACATGTTTTACTAGGACATACATGACTAGCATAGACACAGATTGTATTATGTTTTTTATGTGCATCACATTCTCTTTGTACTCTGATTTCCCAATTAGGCCCTCTCTAGCTTTCTTGCTCGGTATCCCTTTTTGGTATGAATATAATTTCGCTTTCGGTCGTTGACTGTTACGGGTGCCCTCACTGTGTATTTGCTGTGAAAATTCCCAAAAAAATGATTCTGGTGTCTCTTATTCATATAATCATCATCGTATCCATTCATTCAATCATTCTTGCTTGTGTAGTGACTAATTCTCTTCCGTTTCTCAAGGCAAATCTTATATATTGCAATTGTATCTGTTCCTATTTTTTTTGTTATTGATCATTAGTATATTCGTTATTCACAAAAACAGGACAAGACCACAGGTGTTCTCTATCCCGTCCCGGTGCTGTACGGTCCGGGTCCGTTCATCCATCGGTCCATATGTCCATTTAAATAGTAAAGTGGGTTTAGCGCAAAGTGCTGTCCAAGTAGTGGTCAGCCACGCCGTCGATTCGATGACGTACTGTAGCTTATACGTATACGGTACGCACTTGTGCACGATTACGGTACTGCATCACATACCCTTATACCCCTTCCAAAAAAAATTCGACAACCACTTATCATCATCGTCATACCACCAGTTTCCCGCCGGGTTCTTTTATGTTCACATGAGACATTGTGCGTGCGCGCGCGCGTCCAGAAATGCCGCGTCGCGACGTGGAAGTGTCGCGTTAGTAGTTGTGGTTTTAGTAGTTGACTAGTTGATATCATACTGTAATAGACACTTCTTACGCTCGTTCATCTTTGTCTTCACCTTCTCGGTTTCTGGTAGGCGCCAGCTCGCCATTTGTTGAGTGCCATTCCGCGTGTGTTCATTACTTGCTGTGTTTCCATACAAGATGGCTATTGTTTTTTTTCAATATTCATAATTTTTATCCTTTTTTTATTCTTTTCATTTCCAATTTCGTATTCTGGTTTGTTCCTATTGCTCAGTCCGGTACATAATAAACCGCCTTGGACCGTGTTGTGTTACCCGGCATGGTATGTGTGTGAAGTTGTCAAGTCTTTACATACCATTTTTCTCTCGCGAAATGCGGCTTATGGATTCCTGGCGCGATTTCGCTATTTTATAGGCGTATAGCCTTGGCGCTATATCTGTGTTTGCCAAAATTATATGCTACCCAAGCGACAGTTCAGTGGACTGTCCCTAACTGCAATGGCAGAAGTGATCTTGAAACAACGCAAAATTTGTTTTCAAAATTTGTTTTTGGTATGTTTTTTTTTTCTCATGGAAAACACCTGTAGAGCTTTCAGTCGGCCTGTTACCGTAGATGTAGGAAGTACCGGTTCAGAGGCACGGAGCCCGAAGGAGAATTGGTTCCCGAAAACAGACCCTACTCTGTGATCAGAATGAGACAGCGGTCGATTGGGAGTTAATCTCACCTACATGAGGCCAGCCTAACACGAAAATGAAACCCAATGTGAGAAAACGGGTTTTTATTTCCGTGTTCCGAACCGTTTAGGACTGTTTGGGACGATGTTCGATTTATATGCCTTTCCCGGGTGCTGTTCGCTCTCAGCATTGGTGTTGATATAGCCATCTCCGTTATACGAAGTAAAAGGATAAAGCATTTGCCGTTGATCAATCCCTTTTTGGGATGCGGCACGCATTCTACTTCCATTTGTACATTCGCAGTGGCGTTTGAATGCGATGTGGCCTATACAATGACTTGCGGGGGCCAGCCGATGTACAAGTCAGTGTTTTTATCCTCCCAGACAAGTCTGGTACCAATTAACCGACCCCGGATGGATGGCTTGGTTGGCCCGGGCGACTCACGACCCAGGATTTGATCCCCGGACCGCTCGCGTGGTAAGCGTGCCACTTGCCACTACACCACTTCCGCCCTTTTTCGTAGCACTGACTCGGAATTCTACAGTCTGATTTCTGGTATCGCTGGGGTGCAGTTTTACCCAAGGATTACATAAAAAAAAACTATCATCCCGTTTTCACAATTCTATCCGCAAACGGCAAAAGTAGAAGTTATTTTGGAGGATATTAGGGTATGTGCATGAGCAATTCATTACACAACGCTGAGCGTGGTGTCAGAGTCCATCAGGCGATTCAGGCGACGGCGCGACGGTTCACGGAAATCACAAGCGTCCCTGTCAATCGGGTGCTCTCCAATCCCACCGCCATTTCTGCTTGATGTCATCGTTGGCTGAGGACTGTTCATGATTCTACTTGTTCCATATTTAGTGTTTCAAATGTACAAAGAGGCACTTGCGATTTTTGCGATTCGCGCAATTTCGCGCGACGGATCGCAGACTCTGACACCAGCCTAAGCTAATAACACTCGTTCAACACTGTTCTCAGAACGCATAATAAATGTGGGTATGTACCCTCGCCTTCAAATGACCAGAAATTGTGCAATTGCAGAAATTGACGTGGCATTGGCACGTGGCTAAATTCTCGATGAAAAGGTGACATCACGTGTGCTCAAAGATGTTCTTGAATCGATGCCACGTTAATGCCACGTCAATTTCTGCAATTGCACAATTTCTGGTCATTTGAAGGCGAGGGTACCAAAAGTACGCAGGCGAGTTAGAGAGCATGGGGGAACAGAGTCACCACTGCGTCTGTTGTGGCCTGACCAATGAACAGGGATTGTAGAAACAGGCGTTCACATGATGTGATGTGTTAGCACAGATGATGGCGTGGTACGGCATGACAACGCAGCTGTTTGCCACATTGGTTTTTGACCAAATTCGTAGAGTGCGGCATGAAATTATTTGTCCGAGTTCATTAGGGATCAGCCATGATACAGGTTTTTAATCCATTGCGGACCGCCCTTGAACGTGTATCTCCCCCTCATTTTCAGTTTTTTCATCAGTTGGCAGAAGTAAATCAATAATTCTATCAGTACTAATATATAGGGCATTATAAGTTTTCGGGGATGTATTATAGCGTTCTAAATCTGAAAAAATGCTGAATTGATCAAACAAAAACGCGTGATGCACATGGTGCACCACGTGGTACGCAGCGGGTACACAAGGCTTGAATTCGCTATTGGAGTGAGGGGGATATGTTTATGTACAACGGTGAACAACAATTGGATGCGAATCGGTGAGCCGAGAAAGTCTCCTTGAAAACTTGAAAGACTTCAGAAGCACACAGTGTGTGTGCTGTGTCGCATGTGTAGATCCTTGGCAATCATTTCGGCAGTGATCGGATGCATTGAGGAACGCGTCTGAATGTACAGGTCACGAGCACGACTTCTGGCAGCTGGCCAAGCAATGAGGTCCCTGAAACGAATGAATTTAGGAATAAGATTTGTGGCTTTTGACAGAAACGATTCTAACATGAGACGCAATGGCTGAAGGTTCTGCATAGTGCATGCGGATGGTCAAAACTAAAGGGAATAAAGCTTTCCGGCGTTGATCAATCCATGTTTAATGCGCCACGCATTCTACTTCCATTCTGAATCGTAGTGGTTTTCGAATGTGGTATGGCCTATACAATGACTTGTGAGAGGTCATTCGATGTACAAGTCAGTGTTTTTATCCTCCCAGACAAGTCCGGTACCAAATAACCGACCCCAGAGGGATGGAAGGCTTATTTGGCATGAGCGAGAATTCGATCCGAGCGCTGTAGCAGATACCCCACACTACCGCGCAGAGCGCAACGTTGCCACCCGTAGCTTCGAGCGGGTCCTTCAACTCAGTCGCCGCACACATATGCCGCACGCGAACCACTATAAATTTATGCGACATCGCGTCCGGACCTAAAAGCACACAACCTTTAAGTCTCATGGATTGCATTTCATGCTGCGCCGCACTTTGTTTTTCGCGCATTAGTGTTTGTTCGCTTGTTCCCCTCGCGATTGTATGGGCGCATACTTCACTCAAATGGTCAGAAGGGAAGAATTTGAGTAAAGGTTACTGCCAGTGAATGGCCGGTGGAAAATTGCTACCCGTTTAACGAAATTTGGTGCGCCGACCATTGGATTTTCAATGAGCCTCCCTTTTCTCCTAAATAACGTCCCTTTTCCTCCTAAATAGAAAACTCTGGCGAGTTTTTATTCTCAATGAAGTCAATATGGACTTGAATACTGGGTACTGGTAAATGCGGACCCCATATACAAGCGGGACAGACGCTAATGAATTATGAAGAAGAATGTACTTGTAAACTGGGCGACAGAATTTCAGACGTCCTTGAGGAAGACACAAATTTGAGCGCTTTGTCGATTATTGGCTCCCATTTCGCTTTCACGCATAGTCGGATCCACCTGAAACGAAGCACTTCTTTTATTAATTCAATTCTTTTGCACGTATGGTTATTGATTGGCTCGATCGCCACAGGGAACAATTACTGTTTCCGGCAGAAATCTTTTGTGAACGATGTTTCATTGACTTCAATGGGTGTACATCATGGAAATATCGGGAAGTTCTCGGGTGCAATCAAGAAAGTGTTTCGTGTGTATTTAGGGCGTCAGAAAGTTCATACCCTTTTTAGGTGCTATCCATTTATGAACGCTTTTTGTGTTTTGACTTTTTAGCAACCTGCCTGACGTGCTACCAACACTTCGTTGCAAAACCTTTGATCTCGGGCGGGCTCGAACCGCCGGCCTTCTGTGTGTTAGACAGATGTGATAACCACTACACCACGAGATCTCGACAGCAGTTCAACTTTGGACTCGTTCCAACCACCAGGACCGGTAATTTCTCCACCTGACCCACCAGGGTCAACTAGATTCCTGATTTCACACGCAACACTTCGTTGCAAAACCTTTGATCTCGGGCGGGCTCGAACCGCCGGCCTTCTGTGTGTTAGACAGATGTGATAACCACTACACCACGAGATCTCGACAGCAGTTCAACTTCGGAAAAGCGGGAGCAGGTCAAGATATTATAGACGCACTTGGCTGAGATTCGCAATAAATATGGTCTGAAGCAATTGTTCAAAAAGCTTTTGTAAGAAGCGAGAGCCTAAAGATTGTGAGGGTGGTGGTCGGAGATTGGACAACGCCAACGATTAGCGAACGTTCTGGTTGAAGCACGTTTGCACAAATCTATTGAGAAGGGTTCCTCCAAACTGATCGCACTTGCACTGTGGCTTTCTGTTATACGGAAAGAGCTGGAAAGTTCAAAAAATTTGATTAGGGGGTTCCGCGACAACCCACCTTGAAGGGTCTTGAAGTGTTTTGAAGGGTCCCCCACTTTCTAGCATGTTTTATGCAATGAAAACGACCTGCTTTTTGACTCATTTGCGACACGACGAAAGAGCGGATTCTTTGCTACAGAATACGAACCTTTGGTGAAGTGATCGACCGCGATCAGGCTCTACAAACTTTGCAAAAGTGAAACTTCACTGAAGGAAGGTTGAGGTGACTTTCATAAGGTCAGCGGCTGGTCTAGCTCTTCGTAACCAGGTGGATCTGTTAATGTGGAAAAGTACTCTTGATAATGTGTCAAATACTCCTAGAATTCTGCACATATGCTAGCATTCCTCATTATGAAAGGAACAGGCTCATCCCTGACAGGTAGCTCGGACGCACATCCCACAACCAACCCTGCAGAAGTTGAACAAGATTGGCTACGAATTAGTCCTGCGACATCCTACTCGGTAGACCTTTTGCCTATAATTGTCACTTTCTCGACTACCTGGATAGCTTCTCCAAAGAGTTATGCTTCAAAAACCAACATGATGCGGAAACGACCTCCGCCGGGTTCATCGTCTCTAGAGCTCCAGTATTCTGCACTACCGGGCTGATTCAACGCAGCTATTATTGGCAGAGGTTTGTGGATTCTAACAGTCTTTACTCCAATCAAAAAGGTTTCGAATGAGCCGAGATACAGGCATTTGAAAATCAAGGTCGAAAAGCGCAAGAACTTTCTTCACGACTTAATACTATGTACATAGGTACGATTGTATTTATGTATATATGTACGATTATCAGGCTCCTGAAGAACAATTGAAAAGAAATATTTAAAAATTTCATAGAAAGGCTACCAGGTTTTCATCATTTCTTTCTTTTTCTTTTATAAATATGTCTACCATTTCTTCTTTTCATCGCACGCCATCAATTTCCATTAGGGGGGGGGTGGTGGTGTGTGTGGTGGGGGCCGGTCTGGGGGGTTGGGGGTGGGTGGGATGGGGCGTGTGGTGCTGGGGGTTGGAGAGCAGTGGTGTGGTGCGAGTGTAGGGTGTGTGTTGAGTCCGGCGGGGTGGGGGGTGGTCGGGGAGAGGCTCTTCATGTAAATGGTGTTTTTAGGGCCACGAAATGTCAGAGTGTACCACAAGGAGTAGAACAAAAGCTCCGGAGGTTTGGCAACTGATGTATTCTACAATGCGGCATCGTTAGAGAGTTTGGTCAGGGCATGTCATGGCAGAGTGACTAAAGACTTTGTTCTGCTTCATACAACAACTCTTATACTGTGGGCGGTGGTTGCTTGTCTAGGCCTATTGCTAAGGGTTCCGGACTCTTTCCCGTTTGAAGGCACACTCCGCGATTAGTACCCAATCTCTCCGATTGGTAGGAGAAAGTTTTCTACGAACATCATAGATGTGCTCTTCTCATGTCTCAAGAATCCGCGACACTGGCTCTGGGCCTTACCGGTGGTCCCAATTACTGATGACTTGCTCTCTATTCCTCAGGCCCTGTGTCCGTGCTCTGTCGTACAGGTGCTCTTCTTGACGCTCAGCTCCGCTACGTTGCGTCGTACCACAGTTTCCCCATAAAAAGGAAATCCCTTAATTTTAGTGCTTCGATGATTTCTTTTGTTTTGTAATGGAATTCCATTTCCGAGTAGAACAACCGCGAAACTGTTTGCGGACTGTGTCTTTAAGTCCACCTTGTAGCAATTATATATGCCCTGGAAACTTGAACTGGAACAGTATTCAACATATTAAACCTTACTTCAGGACGATTTCACTATTTTCTGAATCGTTCAGGCCATATGCTTTGTCCAACGCTACCAGTTTCCAGTGTTCTAGAGGAGGATCGCGCTGAAATTCAACAGTATAATAGCATGTACAATTTTGGAAAGTTTTCAAGCGTGACCTGCCACAACTGGCTGAGGAATTCGATTTGTTGTAGAGGTTGCATGGCTTTGAAGGTGTCATTGTTGATCTTCTCCACCTCATCTTCATTGGCTTCGATCCACTGCTTGAACAGTTCCTCACAAGCCACCACCATGGCTTGTCCATAGCTGAAAAGATATAGTAGAAATCTAGTTTGTCCATGGAAATTCTGTAAACGAGTATCGGAAAGTGTGTCAAGGACGGGGCCCCATAGAAAAGCTGAGTGGAACGTTACCTCGAACCTAAAGGCACCTTCTGCTATCGGCAAAGTAGACCACTCACTTTCTTGAGAACGGTACGCCCCTCTCCAGCCGCATACCTCGAATCAGTTTCGCGGTTAAAAGTTGGGAAACAAGATCACTAGGGCGTCATTTTTATGCTCGATGCCAGAGCCCCGTCTTGCAGGTCTTCGAAATGTCCCCACTTAGCTGGTAAGTCAACTAGAACTCCAGGTCAAATAGCCGTCTACGCACTAGGGTTAACGACACTATCTTCCAACGAGTTGATAGATTAAATCGTGGAATCTGAGTTTCGAGATCACCAAGTGCCGCCCATATGAATGCTTGGAATGCGCCAAACTGACCTTAGGCATGCTGTACTTCTAGAAGGAACTCACTTTGGTTTCTCTGGTGGCATGCCCACTGCATGGAACCATGCTTCAAAGTCAACTGTATTGAGAATGTCCCTCTTGTCCTGAAAGATTTTCATTTGAACCTATGTAAGTGAATAATCTTCTATGTGATCACCCACGTGGAAATAATCGAGGAGATGCTTCTTCCATTGGTAGCTGTCGATAGCTTGGTGAGCGAACGTGGTCAGATAGTCTCGTAGATATGGCTCGAAAAACTTCTCAATACACTCGCTTCGATAGTTTCAAGTCTTAGGCGCGTCCGCGAAAAGTGCGCGTGTGAAGGATGATGAAGGGACGTGCAGATAAACAGGTGCCATATGCGTCAGCCATGTGCTGGCTTGGGAATCGAATGCGAGCTACGAAACATGGGCCGCTATCGAAAAGAAGAAGAGAATCTATTCAGTGAATCACATAAATGTTCCTTTTTTTTTCTGGGCGGTAGAAAAGTTAAAAAGACACGTGTAGTATATGGGTAACCATAAGTCAGTTTTACTGTATCATCCAAGTTTAGATAACTTGTGAGTAATATCTCGGATTGAGATGGGGCCGCGTGCAGGTTGTAAAAGTGCATGCAGGTGCAGACTAGTATCCCTAGGTGTAACCTTAGGTACTTGAGATTCTCTCACAAGCCATAAACCTGAAGCCACGCTCCCATCTACTGCCGATGTGTGGACTCTCTCGGAAATCGAGAGGAGAGTTTCCCGAGGTCGTTGCGGACGACTAGGTGATAAACTCTACGTGCTAGAGGGCTCTTTCCTGACTCCGAAGCGTCGCCCGATGCGAGCTTCGCTCTCTTCACACCAGTTGAAGAATGGTATTTCCCCGTGTGGAAAGTAGTTGTGCAGTAGTTCGTACAAGACGACTACAGAGGCCTCAAGCAATGGTCGCACCTTCTGTGTTCAGAAGGAAGTGTACCATTGAACATCCTCAGCGGAGAAGATGTTTCAATAGTACAAGATGGCAGGTGAATTGCGGACAGTCTCCTTTTCCATAGCTTGGTTGAAGCCTAGAATCTGCAGTAGTGGATTCTAGCACCTCATGTACAGTAGCGGTCAAAAGTGTTCGCCGAAACGGTTTTCCGTGCTTCTTTTTTGCCAGAAAAAAATCAATGGTGGCCTCGAAAATTTTCTTTTGAATATCCTGATTCTTCAAGACTTGAGGATATAAAAACACTAGAAAACATAGTATATCAATCTTTGGAGGGCGTTGCTCAAGCGAGAAAAAATAATGCACTAAAAATCGTTTCGGCGAACACTTTTGACCGCTACTGTATACTAATTGGCTCATTGCCAATCATCATTTTGTACATAATATGCAAATAAATGGTTAATTACGAAAAGTGTGTTGTGTTATGTAATTGGGTACGGTAAATCGTCACAGCTGTTACATAACACCCACGGCTGTCACGAAACTTTGGAGCTCTCGGTTCCAACACACGTAATTTATGGCGCAGACGCTGGAACGAAGGATTGAATACGCAGACCCGAGAATGGGTGTGTGGGGTATGCTGAGATGCAAATTCCAAACCTATGGCGTCCTTGCCACGAGTGTTACTACCTTTTTGGCTCAGATTAGACTCAGATAATGATGGGATCATTTACGTGAGGGGTTACGGAATCTATTGTCAACCCAAGACGAAATGCTGCCAGGACTCTCTCGGTTTCAAGAGAATAGAGAGGGATCCTTCCTCTTCCCAAAGCAATGACTTGGAGGCACTCATCGTCTTGACCTTGGCTAATTTCTGCTACAAATGGGTTTTTTTTACCTGGTCCACCAAGTTTTTGTTCCAAGTAGAACAACAGAGCGGATCCTTTTTCATAGGGCACACACGAGAACGCAACGTCTGGATCGACATTCGTGTGATCCTGGATCAGTTTGGTGAACTGATGAGTGGGCGTGAATTGCTCGTGCACCTGCAATCACTCATTTGACTTTGGATTGTCGATTTATATGTTTTTTATATATTCTTCATTTTCATGGCTGTGAAAGGGGAATAGCTTCGTTTTCTTGAACAGCTCCATCCACCTGGCGAGTTCGCCCACCTTTGATGCTACGAATATTTTATCAACGGGTTCGATTTCCCGCACTGTTACCCGACGCTGTTGTTTTGGTTCAGAAACCTTTTTCTAGTTGATTCAAACCTTACATTTAGTACATGAAATTTGGGGGGGAAGTGGCACAGTGAAGCAAGTGGCGCGCTCACCACGCGAGCGGTCCGGGATCAAATCCTGGGTCGTGAGTCGCCCGGGCCAACCAAGCCTTCCATCCCTCCGGGGTCGGTTAATTGGTACCAGACTTGTCTGGGAGGATAAAAACACTGACTTGTACATCGGCTGGCCCCCGCAAGTCATTGTATAGGCCACATCGCATTCAAATGCTGCGAATGTACAAATGGAAGTAGAATGCGTGCCGCATCCCAAAACGGGATTGATCAACGCCGAGTACTTTATCCTTCATATATAACCTATTGAACTCGATTAACCCTGTGGAAGAGATTCCGTCAGGTTTTGTTTTGATTTATTTGGGAAAACAACTAACAGTCGGTATAAGATTGTTTGTCCAGCCGTTGTATGCCATAAATTGTCGATAGTCCTCATTGATCAATCGACCACAAATCTTTCGCTCAATGAACATCGTAAAACCCTCGTTTAGCCTGAAAAAATACTACATTTCTCCCTCTCCCCTTGAACTTCATGATTTCCTCATTTCAAAGTCGGCTTCGGAAATATTCAATCACAGTTCACCCCAAGAATATCTCCATAATCCAACCTGAAAGGTCTTCACCAAAAGTCCCAGCTGCTGTTGTACGAATTCCTGACCAACTGTCGCTATTCATGAGCCATCACATTCGAACCAAGCACGAATCCGCATCCCTGAAAAGGATAAAATGCATCAGTAAACAAGCGCATCTTCAGTACTTAAAGCGCACAGTCTGCGATCAAACTATGGTTATTCTCTCAAAACGAACAAAGCCCAACTCAGTAACCCCAGACATTAAGGCGCGCTGGGGTCAGGTATCCGGTCAAGTTTGCCTTCAAACCAACATTGGAGATAAGTCTAACCAATACCAACCTTGGCAGAGCAGGTAATTTTATCTCTGCCTCCAATTCTTCACTAAACAAGTAATCATACGTGGCGTGCTACAGAAGCACTGGGGCACCAAGGACGAAAATCAATTGAAACCTTCCTCAGGTTCGGCCAGTAGGCTGCCGAGTACTCAATATGACCCCGCCCGAATAAAACGCTTTGGATGCTTTGACAAATCCTGTTTTTTTTCTTGCGGTACGCTTTACATATCTTCCCATTTTTAATAGAAACTTAACCATAAAGTGATAGGAGTGTTGATAAGGGGAGGGCAGCGGAAGGCGTGATAGTGAGCGATCGTCGAAGTTATACGACGAGCATGCCGGCTGCATCCCCCATCCCCCTCCCCCACTGCATTCAAGGCAACTTACGATGAGAGTCGGTGTCAGAAATGTGAGGCAGGGATTCTCCATACCGCCGAAGGGGAAAGACGGCGGCAAACAGACCATATCATACCTGAAATCAGAATCAGGTTCAGAAAATTGCTGGAGTAAAAAAATGCCTGAATCGCGAGATTACCTTCCCCAGATGTATTTGCCAGCGATTTGTTCGGCACAAGTGAGAATATCCTCTGTTTCCGAAAATTCCCAATGCGCTTTATCCACCATTGATGGCTCCGCCCACACCGCAACCCTATAATTACTCCAAATCAGGCGAACCGTGCTGCGACAGTGCGCGTTTGATGCTCCTATTTAGGACAAATTTGACTTGATAATCGTACCTTTCACTTATGTCTCGTTTTTCCAGCACACCAACAACGATGGCAATGAGATAGGATGGAATGGCAACGGGTTGCTTGAAGAAGAATGTGGTAAATTCGTCGTCACCCTTGGATCCTTCGCCAATCGCACTCATCAGACAAGTAAGTCCAGCTGGTACTGTTACCTGCAATAGTTGTTGAGCAGTAGCAGCACCTCTCCAGAAGAACCGCAACGCAAATGCGCGCGTCAGGTTTCGGTTAGCCACTGAGCAGTTAAGTGCATACCTGAGCTTCGTAGGTTGATTTCACGGAGGGTGTGTCCATACAGGGTACCAACTGACCGTGCATGGATAGCCTGACATTGTGAGAACAAGTACGGTGCCTGGAACGATTTCGTAGGTTTTTCAGACTAGGTTAAAAAAAAGGAGTATAAATTTTTTTGTGCTATTATATTCCGGCGCATTTGTTTTTATGTCACTCTGAAGTAGCGCTTGAGTCACCGGCTGTTAGCTGATAAAGTTTTCACAGCGCAGTACTTTTTGATAGATGTAGTGTACCGCGCCGCAGCCGTGCGCGTCCCAAATATGACAAACCAAAACATTTGAAAAAAAAGACCTCAGCTTTTGCAAAACTTTTGCAAACACACATTTTTGCAATTTCTTTTGTAGAAAGTTTTGAGTCTTTTGCAATAAATTTTGAAGTCTCACATTGTTTAATACACAATATTATGAAAGTGTTGTGCAACGACCGCGCGTCCCCTTTAT